CCGCCGACCGTCTCCCTGGTGCCTCGGGACTTCCTCGTGTCGTCCCTGCCGGTTTCGGTCGCGCAGTTCCACGCGTTTGTGACTGAACTGAAGGGGTATAAGAGGGAGGAGCTCTGGGAGGGGGAGGACTGGGATTTCCTGCAGAAGCAGGGGCTTACCTGCCCTGCCTCCTGGAGTTTTGTCAAGCGCATGAGGGGTGGGAGTACGGACGGGGAGGGGAGCGGGGAGGAGGACGGTGTGACAATGGCTGAAGAGGAGACAGCGGATGGGAACGGGGAGAAAGCGGTGGGAGGGGAGGAGGAGGGAGAGTACTGGGTACATACTCACCTGGGGTTGGGCAAGGGAACAGAAGCGAAACCTTGGTATGAGGTGGCAGATGCGCCGGTGTGGGTAAGCCTGGCTGAGGCCCAGGCGTTTTGCCGGGCGGCAGGGAGCGAGTACCGGATTATGAGCGAGGCGGAATGGAACCAGATTGTGTCTCAGCCGCCGCCGTTCCTTCTGCCCGCTGACATCATGTCTTTCGATGATAAAGACGATGATGGTAACAATGGGAAGGCGAGTGCGAGCAAGGGACTGGTGTCTGGTTCGAAGAAGCAGACGGACGGGAAATTATCTCTGCTTGCTGGTGCTAAAATCGATCTCAATTCTGGTGAGGAAGAGGAAGCACCCGTGGAAGGGAATCGCCTTGCGGAGCTGCAGCGGAGCGTGCGGGAAGGAGGGTGGGAGTGGACCAGCTCGCCCTTCGAACCCTTCCCAGGGTTTGAGAAGATGGAGGAGTATCCTGAATACTCGACTGACTTTTTCGACGGCTGCCACTTTGTGCTCAAGGGGTCGTCGCCTGTCACGCACCCGTGCATGGTGCGCGACTCGTTCCGTAACTACTACCAGCGCCAGTACCCGTTTGTGTTTGCCAAGTTCCGGTGCTGCAGGGATGTGGCCAGGAGTGTCGTCTGATGGAGAGGAAGGGATGTTAAGCGAGGGGGTTTTTTAACAACTGGCCTGTATTTTCTACTCCGCTCCTGTATCTCATCCCCTTAAAGCCTCCATAGCACCCCCTTGTAGCCCCCTCCCCATCAGATATGATCCTCCTCCCCATCAGATATGATCCTCCTCCCCATCCGAGGTAATTCTCCCCATCCTTCTATGAACTCCGCCAGTTTTGTTTGTGCATCTTCTCTTGCTGTTGCCCTTCATACTTGAAGGGCAACTTCTCAATTTTGTCCAAAGCTTGACACTTTTTGTCTAGCTTTTTGTCTAATGGAGGTTCATACACTTCATGCTTGTGGGCCAAGGCCTCCTGAGTCTCATAAGATATACAAATTACGGTAGAAGTGCAAGATACCCTAATAGTTTCTAGAGGATAAAGTTCAGTGTTCAAGGTGTTGGTTGGGCTTGGAACCAGGATAAGTTCAGGTCGTGTCCGTAGGGATGACATGTCAAAGTGGGCAGTGTCAATTTGGCTTTTTGACACTCAGCCAACATTGTTGGCAGAGTGTCAAGAAATCACAGGTTGCCAGCCAATACAAATCGTCGGACACTTTTGAATTTAGCACAGTCATACCTACAAACGAGAGAAATTTGTCGCAGCTACCTACCTCATGATGAGATACTGCCCAATCAACAAGCACCACCTCCTCCCAATAGTATTATCTGGGGTTTGAATCGTTTGCTGCCTTGGAGATGCACAAACGACTTGGGTAACAAATTCTCCAACCAATGAAAATGTGTCGTTGATGCTCGTTCGTGCGCTTCGACTTGACACTTCAGCAACAGTGTTTGACACTCCAGCTCGAATGCGCTTCGAGTTGACACGCACTTGTTGACATGTCATCCCTACGGACACGAACTCAGTGTACAAAGCAGGAAATCCAGAATCCAGACAACAGCTCACAAGACGGAATTGTTTCCCGCAAGCATTTCTCACTTCCATGTCGTACGCAGCAAGTTTCTAGGTCGCCCACTCGAGTGCAGCAACCTCCACCTCGCCCGTATGTGTACCGTAATCTTCCAGTCGAAAGAACCTTTCACTAGTCGAATCTGCCCCTCAAGAAAATCCACTGATTCTCCGCTAACAGTACCTTCAGCTGCTCCTCTTCCTCCTCCTCGCGCTTCCGTCCTAAACTAGTCAGACGTTACTGAACCTTACCGCGCGTGCTCCTCTTCCGTGCGTGCTTCTCTCGTCCGCCACTCTCTCTTTTCCACTAGCTCCACACCACCAGGCCCTCCTTTCCCGCATGGATGCGCTCGCGGGTTACGGTTCGGACGATGACGTCAGCGACGAGGAGCCCTCTCAGCAGCCCGTGCGCGCATCCGCACCGACCTTTGAGACGTCTCAAAAGCAGCCCGTCCGCGCATCCGCACCGACCGCGCCAGCTGCTGCACCAGAACCTTCCTTATCGGCGAAGCGCGGATTTCTCGGATCCCTTCCGCCGCCGCGATTCGCGGGTTCCGCTGCCGGGCCGACCGCTCCTTCCCCCTGGTCCGCCGGGGAAGCGGATGCGCAGGGTAGCTTAATCGCCGGCCCGCGCGCGGGTTCTTCCGCCAAGGCAGGTGCGACTGCAGACGGCGAGCCGTCAGAAAAGCTCACGGACAGTCTTGTAGCCAGCCGGCCGCGGTCGGGGCTATTCGCAGCTCTCCCGCCTCCGCGACTTGCGCAGGGGTCAGCACTAGGGTTGGGGCTCGGCGTGGGGCTCGGGCCGTTTGGGGAGACGAGGGATGATTCGCTGACGAGCGCGAAGCTCGGGGGACGAATAGGCGGAGGCGCGGGCGGAAGCGGAGGCGGAGGCGGAACCGGCGGAAGGGGAGGGGGAGTTGGCGCGGCTGGTGGCGGGAAGAAAGTGGTTAAGCTTCAGTTGCCGGTGGGCTCGTCCTTGTTTTCCTTTAGCGGACAAGGGAGAGGTTCGGCGGGAGGATCAGGCTCAGCAGGCGCAGGCGCGGGCGCAGGCGCAGCAGGCGCGGACTACGGGGAGGATTCGGAGTCGGACGAGGAGGAGCGGGCGCGCAAGACGCGCATACGCGAGCGCAACGCGGCAGCAGCAGCTGCGGCTGCAGGAGGGGGCAAGAGAGGCCTGGCGGCGTTTCTGCCCGCGCCTAGGAATTCCCTGGGCATGGGAGGGGCCATGGGGGGTTCTGGTTCCACTAGACTGGATCTCACGGGGGGAGGGGGGGGAGGGAGGGGGGGTGGCGGAGGGGGCGGAGCTGAAGGTGGGGGGGCAGCTGGAGGGAGCGGAAAGGTTGAGGCGAAAATTAGAGTTGGGGAGAGAGCAGGGGAGTTGAGAACGGCAGGTGCTGCGGCTGGCCTGGGTGCGGCGACGGGAGGTGTGGGGGGAGTGGGGCCAAGATTGGGGGTTACGGATTCTGACTCGGATGAGAGCTCAGAAAGCGGTGATGAGGAGGGGTTGGGAGGGGTGGGGATGGAGGGCGCAGGGCTTATGGGAGGTGCGGGGGGAGGGGAAGGTGACACGGAGGCAGGAGCAGGGGAGGGGCACGTCTATTCACACCCTGCCACTGAGCCTGCAAACGAGCAGCAGCACTCGTGGGGTGGTGCTTATAGTGAAGGCCATTATAGCGAGGGATACTCTGCATCCGCCACTGCTGTCCCAGCTCAGGGTTATTACAGCCAAGGTTACTATCAGCCCGAACAAAACCCTGCAGGAGCAGCAGCAGCAGCAGCAGCAGGGACAGAGGCGCTACATCCAGGTGCTTACACACGGGCGTACCCTGATTCATCTGATCCAAGCGCACATGCGCACGCGCATGCGCATGGGTACGGGTACGGGTATGGCTACGACAGCAACCCGGCGGCAGCAAGCTCAGCAGGGCAGGGAGCAGGCAGGGGGGAGTACAGCACAGCAGCACTAGTAGCAGGGGTGACAGAGGGGGGAGCAGGGCAGGCAGGAGATCACCAGGGGGTGGGAGCAGAGGGGGAGGACACAGAAGCACTGGCTAGGATGGCGAGGAAGCGAGGGCGGGGGCGGGAGGCGATGGAGGTGGCGGCTGCAGCGGCCAACGTGGTGGAGGTGAAGCAGGCGGATCTGACCAAGGGCCGCGTGCGGCAGGACCCCATGCGCGCCGCTGGGACGGCCTTCGGCCCTGCGTATGCGGTACGCTCGGGGTGCACTGTGGGGATCTGTGAGGGGCTTTGTGCAGGGACTTGTGTGTGGCTTTTGTGTTGGGGTTTGTGTGTGATATTTTGTCCCTCCCTCCTCCCCTCCCCCTCCCTGCCTGCATCGCAGCCGGTGTCGGCGGCGGGGGGCAACAAGCCGTCCAAGATGCATCGGCGCAAGCACCAGATAAGCTCGCTGTACTTTGACATGCGGCAGAAGGAGACGGAGCTCACAGAGCGCCGCTCCAAGGGCATGCTCAGCAAGGCCGAGACACATGCCAAATACGGCTGGTGATGCATGGGTCACTCACCGTGCTGCCCGGTTCATGGATGGTGCGCGCCTCCTGCCTGTTGATTCATGGAGATTTGGGAAATTGACATGTTGTACGGTACCGTACATGAAGTTGCTTGCTTGCCAGCCAGCCAGCCAGCCCAATATCTGTCTTGCCTTTTTCAACCATCCATGGCTTTCAATCACTTTGCTGCCTTGTTTGGTTAGAAAGAACCTTTTGTGATTGAATGTTATGATGGGCTGGACTGTAAATGAAGCATTCGCGGTTGGCTCGAAAAGCTGCAACTCCCTATAACACTGCTGTGTCAGCAAAAGCTGCACCAGTCGCACACGTGCCTCATTCAGGAAAGGTATGTGTCCTGCACCACCCCACCAACATCTTTTCTGGTGAACAGCATGGCTGACTGAAGACCTGGCGCATAAATGTGAGGGGGAAGGACTAGGTACGGTACTACCCACCAAGGAACCAACAGAAGCCTAACAAGCAACTAGAGTTCAACCCCACCAGACCTCCAGCCCAAGGCCAGACAGGAGCAAGCTATGCCACCCATGCATGTCTCTGGTTCCACCATCACCTCTGGGAAGCGCAAGGAACGGACTTCGCTAAAATGCAGCCCAGCCAGAGGGCTGATTGAAGCCCTGTGCTGTGGAGGCAGCAGATGCGAACTGCTGCTGCTGCTGGGGTTGGGAGGACTCGAAACCAGAAGCAGAAAAGGCACCACCAGCACCACCAAAACCAGCTACACCCGATTTTTTCCAACTGCCCGGAGCACTTCCCGGAGCACTGCCCGGAGCATTGTTAGAACCTTCCATCTGTTGGTGGGGGAGAGGCGAACGTGGTCTGTTCACACTGCCTCTACCACCACTGCTGTTAAAACTAGCAGACGCTCCAGAATAGGACCCTCCAGAATCTGCAGCGGCAGGGGCGGCAGCAGAAGGTAAGGCAGAGGAGGGGGCACTGCCATAGGTTTGCCAGTACCCCTGCTCCTTCTCCTGCTGGTGCTGCTGTTGCTGCTGCTGCTGTTGCTGCTGGTGCTGGTGGTGGTGGTGAAGCGGGTGCAGTGTCTGTTCCAGGTGAGCTTTAGACGGGGAGGAGGACTGCACAGTGGTGTGGTGGGCGGGAGAGGAGTTACGTCGATAGGCTGCCTCACCTGCTGCAGCGGCTGCTGCGGCTACAGCTGCTCCTTGTGAACCAGCAGCTTTAGAGGCAGCTCCAGCAGCTGATGGACCAGGGCCAGCCGACGCCCGTCGCCAGCTGCTGCTGCTGCTGCTGCTGCTTCCACCCCCGTTGCGGCTACTGTTGCTGCTTCCACCTTTGTGGGATCCATCTCGCTTGAGAGACTCATCAGAGACAGGCACAGGGCTGCCTATGTCCTCAAACCGTAGATTGATCACCTGCTCCGCCTCCCCTTGCTCTTCCCCCACCCTGTCCCCCTCCTGCTCCCTCTTTCGCAGCTGTATCTCAATCTCCTCCTCGCTCCTCCCCTGCCTAATGCCCCCTGTTTCTCCACTCCTGAGCCTCTCACCCGTCTGGCTTCTAGAACCGCCAGTGCCGCTTACCGCCTCATTCTTCTCAGCCCCTGCACCACCATTAGCGCGGCGAGCGGCACTCGCGCCTTGCACATCAGCACTACTGCCCCTGCTGGTTCCACCCTGCTGCTGCGGCTGCTGCTGCTGGGTCAGTGCGGCCTGCAGAGCAGCGATGTCTGCCTGCTGGGTCTGCACCACGAGAGTGAGCTTGTTGCACGTCACTCGCAGCTCATCCCGCTCCAGCACCACCCGATGCAGCTCCCCTCGCAGCCGCTCCACCTCCTCTGCTCCTGGCGCCACTCGCGACCGCGGCGGCGATGGTTGTGGGGATGCTGCTGCTGCTGCTGCTGCTGTTGATAAGTATGGTTGTGATGATGTTGACTTGGAAGGCCCCGGTGCCTTGCGTTGCTCACTAGCATCTGCATCAACACCAGGACTTGCGCTTGCAGCAGTAGCAGCAGCGGCAGCAGGAGCAGCGGCATCAGTAGAGCTCCTGCTGCCTCTTCTCTCCTCCTCTGCTCGTCTCGAACTTACTCTCTCTGCAGTGCCTGCAGATACTCTGCTAGACAAGGGCCTGCTGCTAGCACCCGCATCAGCAGCAGCAGAAGCAGAGGCAGCTGCAGAGGTTGCTGCAGCAGTGGAAGCTGCAGAGGCAGCAGAAGCAGCAGGAGGTGCAGGAGGCGCAGGAGCAGCAGCAGTACCAGATGATCCTGCCTGAGTGGTTGGAAACGAGTCAAAGTTGGCCCAGAACGACCCTCCTGCCCCTCCACCTCCCCCGGCTGCAGTTGCAGCAGAAGCTGCGTTTCTGTCTGGTGCAGATTCTCGCCGTTGCTGCTGCTGCTGCTGCAGGTGCTGAGGCGCAGGGGAGGAGGGTCTACGGCCAGCCGCAGAGGCTGCAGGGCCCGGGGAGGGCTTGGGCGTTAGCGGGGGCCAATCCGGGCTGGCCTTGCGCATCTCAGGGGGCAGGAGCTCGTTCACCCGGCGCCATACCTGGTGGGAGAGCGAGGAGAGAGGAAAGAGAGAGCAAAGAGAACGAAGAAGGAGACTGAATGGAAGGAAAGGAGGTGGAGGAGGGAAAGGTGGACCAACGAGCAGTGTTAAGGCCAGGAGGGTGGGAGGAAGCGAGGGTGGGCAGGAGGGAGATGTGTTAGGGGGTATGCATGGAAGCATGGGATTGTGAGGAGCAAAAAACAATCCCACTCGCTCCTGAACTTACCCCACTCGTCCACACTTGTCCCCATCAGGTCCCACCCCCCCCACTGGCCTCCACTCATCCCCACCCTCCCCCACGCGCCCCCCTCCTCCCCCCCACTCCACCCCCCAACCCACCTGAAGCACGTCGGGGCGGAGGTGCGGCTGCATGGCGAGGAGGTCGCGGATGAGCGCGGGCACGGCGGGGGAGTAGCGCGGCGCGTCGGGGATGCTGTAGCGCCCGTTCAGCACCTGCAGCTTCGACTCGCCGTCAAACGCGGAGCGAAAGTAGGCCATGCGGTACAGCAGACAGCCCAGGGCCTGGTGGGGAAAAGAAGGGGGAATGCAGGGATGGGGGGATGCAGGGATGAGGGGGGTGAGGGGATGGTTTTTTTTTTTTTTTTTTTTTTTTTTTTTTTCGCGCCTTCAAATTCGTCTCCCTGCAGCTTGGACTCGCCGTCAAATGCGGAGCGGAAGCATGCCATGCGGTACAGCAGACAGCCCAGCGCCTGGTGGCGGATGGATGAGGGGGGGGGGGGGGGGGGGGGGGGAAAGCGCGGGGGTACGGAAATGGGGGGAGCCAGGGGCGCAGGGACGTCGGGTCTCGGGACGCAGGTATGCAGGGCGCGGGGCCAAGACCCCCTAGGGTGCAAGGCGGCAGTGACCCTCTTGGGAGATGCAGTGACCATCATCACTTTGGTTGATTTTGAAAATTATCAGAATATTCTCTGTCGACTCAGGCAGGTGAGGCATGTGTGTCGCTCAGGCAGAGATGAATGAAAGCTAATACACTCATTCTTAGAATACATGGAAAAAACAGAAACAGCAGGAAGCCACACATGGAATGATTTGGGGGAAAGATGTGTGGCTCCATGTGAAGGTGGGGGGTGCGTGGGAGAGGCAAGGGATAGTAGGGTTGAAGGATGCAGAGGAAGGAGAAAGGTGGAACGGGCAAGATGAAGGCGGAAATGAGTTGGTGAGTGGAATGGGCCAAGGCTGAGGTGGGGAACGTACCCATATGTCAACCTTCTCGCTCAGCATCTCCTTTTGATAGAGGTCCCACAGCTGTTGATGGGGTGCGGTGGGTCAGGATAGGGGTGGATAGCGATGAGTGCGGAACGCGGCGAAGGAAACAACGGGACAACACACTGTGCATCTGTTAAAGAGTTATTAACGCACGCATCTGTGTGTGTGTGTGTGTGTGTGTGTGTGTGTGTGTGCGTGTGCGTGTGGTGTGTGTGTGTGGTGTGTACGTGTCTGTATAGAGTGGGAGAAAGGGTAGATCCTAATAAACTCTTGGTATGTCATCACTCTTCAGCCCATCATAGCGCAACCACTCATCGGCCGTTCTTCCCTTCCCCACTACCTTGTCTTTATACGCCTCCCCTATTCTCCCTCCCCCCCCCCCCTCCCTCTTCCCCCCACCCTCCTTCTCCCCATCCAACCCCTTTCCCTTTTTCTAATCTCCCCTCACCCCTCGCCCTCGTCCCCCCTTCTCCCCGTCTCCCTCTTTTCCCTCCCTCCTCCGCCCTCCTCCTCCCCCCTCCCCCATACCTCGGGGGCGCGGTAGGCGGGGGTGGTGTTGCGCCGGATCACGTCCTCCTCAATCCCCATGTCCTCCGCGCGCTCGATGCGCCGGTGCCGCGTGCTCGCGCTGCCGAAGTCGCACAGCCGCCACGACCCGTCGGCGCACTGCAGCAAGTTCTCCGCCTTCAGGTCCCTGCGCCGCGCGGGGAGTGCGGGAGTGCGGGAGAGCGGGGGAGCGCGGGAGAGCGGGGTTGAACGCGGGCGCGCGGGGTGCAAGGGGGGGCGCGGGGTGCAAGGCGGGGCGCGGGATCGAAGGGGTCACAGAGAGGAGCGGGAAATTTGAGGAAGGGGGAAAGCGAGAAAATTGAGGAGCAGGGGAGGGGAAGGCCTAGGAGGGGGCGTGAAAGCGGGGGTTGTGGGGGGTTGGGGTAAGAGATTCAGGACGGAGGAGCGGCAAAAGGAGAGGGGAATTGGGGTGGACAGTGGGGAGGCAAACGACCATGACGATGACGATAACGACAACAACAACGACGACGATTTCAATGACGATGACGATGACGATGACGATGACGATGACGATGACGGGAGCGGGGTGCGGGGACGGACCTGTGCGCGACAGGCGGGTGCTGGCAGTGCATGGCGAACACGGCGTTGCACACGTCGCGGAACGTGAGCAGCAGCGTCTTCTCGTCAAACGGCGTCGTCCCCCGCGCAGCCATGACATCCACCAGCGTCCGCTCGCAATGCTCCATCAGCAGAAACACCTCCTTCCGCCCACCCCCGCTCCCGCTTCCGCCCATCCCTCCGCCACCCAACCCACCCATACCCGCTCCGCCAAGCCCCATCCCTCCCGCGCCTGCAACCGCCGCACCAGCAGACCCTAATCCGGCAGATCCGGCGGAATCCAAGAGCGCGTGAGCGTGGAGTGTGACTATATTGGGGTGGCCTCTTAAAGCCATGAGAATCGAGACCTCTCGCTGGATTTGCTCCATGGTATCGGGATCGCCGCAGACGATGTGCTTTAACGCGTATGCGCGGCCCGAGTGCGCGCAGCGCGCGAGGTAGACGAAGGCGAAGCCGCCTTGCGCGATGGTGGAGCGAACCTGCACTTGAACGCGACCCACCTCCACAGCCTTGCCTTCCAACGGTCCCGCGGTCTGGTTCCCGCCGGGGCCCTGGTGGCCCTCCAACCCCATCATGTGCTTCAATCGCCACATGCTGACGAGCTCTTAACGAGGATGTGTATTTTTCAAGCCTTTCGACAAGGATCTAGCGGCTGATTACAAAGACGACGAGAACGGCGACGACGCGACGTACGCGATGGAAATCGGAATTGATGACGAGACGAGAAGGTATTGGCGCAGCTGACAGACGGGAGATTCGATACTTTTGGTTCGATGCCTGATCTGGGTCGTTATTGTAATTAGATGGGCGGAACGCGGGCGCCTGATTAGCCACAATAAAAGGAGATGTCGCGATTTGAGTATATTTTTTTCCTCATTCGCACACCGAGTATGTCTCATCTCAACGATCATCCCAAGAATGTTCGACTTGATGCATAGGGGATGCTGCTGCAGATCTATGGAAAATGAGATCAACTCGTGGCTTCCCTTACCTGCTTGCACAGGGATCGCAATCAGCTCGGCTGTGCTGGTGTGGTTTGGGCTCGGTTAGGTTCGGTTAGATTCGTACTATTCGGCCTGGTCACACCAACCTGACTCATCTTTTTCGGTTGGGTACCCCCGGTTCGGCCGGTGCTTTGCCTTGGCTGGTTTGGGCTGTGTGGGTGCCTGGTGGTGGCCGGCCGAAGCAGTGAATGGGGACGGTCAACTCCACTTGATTTTCATTCATGCAGGTTGTGGATGTCCCATGCCATGGTGTAAAAACTACTTTTAACAAGCTACCCGTTATTGTGTATAGGAGTAGGTTGCGTGGCGTCTACAATCAGAATACTGCAACGCTTTATCTTTAGGGCGTGTCTCGCTCCTTGAAAGTACATTCATTTCATGGTACTGTTACCCGATAACACCCTCTTACAATTGCAATACCTGACCAACCAGACAGGCGCCCCCCGACTCCTTTCTGGCATACGTTTTTTTTACGTGTCCAAGTTCGTGAGCCGCACGTGCCTTGCACACTTGTACATAACACGTACAGGTTCAGTTCGGGGTTTGCAGTAAGTGTTACCCGAATTTTGACATGGGCGAAAACAACCCAAGCGAAAATAACGAAGCCCACAAACAACCCCACCGAATTTTGACACCGCGAATTTTCGCGTGGCGCAGGCGTGAGCGAATCCCGCCGAATTTTACACGGATTTCGTAGGGCGGAAGTGTTACCGCTCGCGACCGTGTGGACGAACTTGTACTTGGTCGGTTTTCACAAGGGCGGGACTGTTCTTCCGCATGCAGAAAGTTGAGCCGCGTCAGGCGGGCACGGAACATTTTTTGTACGTGCGGGCAGCAGTTTTGTGAACAATCAGAATTACGTAAAAATCGTGTAAATGGCCAAACTACACCCTGCGAGACACGCCCTAAGTGCACCAACGGAGGAACTCTCCTCTCAACCAAAACCGCCACGCCAATCAACAGCACCCTCGACGAAACCGCCACGCTGCACACTACCACCAACTCCAGTCAGGGCCACCGCTGTACGCCCCTCACCTCACCCTCCACGAATCGCACGAGGATATTTGACCGCAAGAACGACGCTCTCTTTAGACACCACCGTTATAGCAACGACTTCTGCGTGACACCGTTTGAACGCGTTGAAACATGGCCAAAAACGTCACCCTCGTCCCAACGAACCTCAACTGCCCAGGTTTGGAACGGCCTGGTTCGAGGGGAGGCAACTGCGTATCCGTCCAACCAATCACAAGGCCCCTCCTATTCGATTCTGACGTCCGCATCGCTTGTTTGTCACTCTCCCCTGTCAAGGCCCCAACCAATCCCTGCGCTTGCTTGTTGCCTCATATCAAGGTCACACAAGGTCCCCTTCCCTCCCGTCCCGTGACCCGCCCCTTCTGTTCCGCCCCTCTGGTCACCCCCAGCGCATGCGCGGAGTGCTCGATGACTGGCAGGCGCGGAGTGGAACGGAGGGAATGGCGGAGTTGAAACGCGGAATCACCTCAAACCATCAGCGGAACACCACCGAGGAGCGCGCGCGACCTCACCACCACTCAATCACTCACAATCGCCGCCAGTATACCAGTGAAACAGCAGCAACCACCCAATACAAAATCTGGAAACTAGCCCAACCGTTCCAAACCATCCCTCACCTAGCATAAACAGCGGCAACCGCGCTCAGGAAACTGGCAGCAAAGCCAGCCATATCCCTCCCAGACCACACACAACAGTACAGTTCACCAACTTCTGCACCACCTTGGCGGCACCTTCACACGATTTTGGTGGCTCCTAGTTTAGGAATTGGTACCTCCTGTGGCACGTGCTGCTCAGGCTTTCCCTTCCCCTTTCAATGACGCACTGATTACGTTCCGTATTACCCCTAGCTGACGCAAAGTCTTTCACGCTTGTAGCAGAGGTTTTCTTGCTTCAACATTGAGACCTCAATTTTATTCCTAAGTCCAGTCACGTGACAGTTGCGCCTACGCCGATCGTGTGACTGACCTACCGCCATAGCTTTCAGTTGCATCTGCCTCACATCTGCGTAGGAAGCGGAGTTACAGAACGGGACGTGGAAAATCGTTCGGAACGTCAAGCTAATTCCTGATTAGAAGTGGTTTGGGTTCAGATTATTTGGCCTGGTATGGGTTTGAACGAGAAATCGGCTGTGACGAAGGAACAGAATGATCGTCACAAGAAGGTAACCAGTTCGCCAGTCAGCCTTCATTGTCCACTCTGGTACCGTTGATTTCATGACCAACACTTTCCACCTCATAAAAAATGCTTCCTCCTTTCGAAAGCTGCCACGCTCCACCCATTTTGTGAGCGTTGTAGTCGCTGGTGTATGATCCAGTTTACGATCAACCCTTTTTTTAATTCATTTATTTATTTATTTTGGAGATATGTTATTAATCGACTGTCTGGCGTATGTGTTAACTTCGCCATGCTTTCCCAACTCGCCATATGATTCCTGTGATCAGATTTTGGACGGCCTATTGAAGCTGCAGGAAAACAGAGAGTGTGCTGATTGTCACTGCAAGTGAGCTCTTCCCTATTCTAGTCTTCTCTACCCGCGTCTCCATTTTTTTTGTTCTTCTTCTTCTTCTTTCGTTTTCTTTTTCGGCTGCCTGTATCGTGAACTTTCTCCCCCCACCTTTCTCTTATGTGTTTCCTTTTATCTCCGTTTCATGCTGATCATTGAAACGTGGCCATGACACATACTGCTTCTCCATTCTGCTCCCAACGGCCTTGACAATTACTCCTTTACGCACGGCTCAATCTCTACTCCTATGTCCCTTAATTGCCTTCAGCTTTCCCCTTCCTCTCCCCCCTCCCCGTCCCTCTCCCGCTCCTCCCCCCTTTGCCCCGTTCGTCTGCGCATGGGCGACTCGCAGGGCGCCGCGGTGGGCGAGTGTGAACCTGGGCATATTCATGTGCATCCAGTGCTCCGGCATCCATCGCAGCCTCGGAGTCCACATTTCCAAGGTGGGTGGCTTTCACCACACCGTGCACGCACGCCGTACGCTCATGCGACCACACGCACATACGACCACACGGACCCGCACGCACCCATACTCGCGATTTCCTGATCAGCCTGCCCGCAACCCCTCCCCACTTCCGCCTCCTTCCTGTCCCTCTCTTTCGCACACTCTCTTCTCTGCCTCCTAAATTTCGTTCATACCTTGTTCAGTTCTCTCTAACGTTCTCTTTTCCGTAATGGCGTCTGTGCCATGCCATGCCATCCCATGCCATGCCATCCCGTCCATGCCATGCCATGCTGTGCTGTGCTGTTCCTCGCACCCAGGTCCGCTCGGCCACTCTGGACACATGGTTACCGGACCAAGTGGCATTCATGCAAGGTCTCTCTCTTTCTCTCCCTCTCCTTCCTCCCCCTCTGTTTTGACCTTTGCTTGTAACCGTTTTCCTTAGCCTCCCCGCTTCATCTTTATTCTCAAGTCGATTCGACCTGTTGCTCTCTTGCCACGCCCACACTTCTCTCCACCTCCCCCACCCCCCCCTTGTCCCTCTCCCCTCTTCCCCCAAGTCCTTCTCCGCTCCCCATCCTCCCTTCCTTCTCACCTCCCTTCCCCTCCGCACTGCCTGCCCGCACCTTCCTTCCACACTGAAATCTCTTCCCGTTAATCTCTAAAGTCAACTCTCAGTTTCCAGCCATGTGCAATGATTGCTGCTGCCCTCACCCTTTCAAGTGGTCCATTTGTCCATGCAACCTGGGCTGCTCTGTCGTCTCTTTCCATGTTCCTGACAACTCGTGTAAGCTCTCCTCCCCCCCCTGCCGACCACCGCAGCCATGGGCAATGCCAAGGCGAACGCGTACTGGGAGGCCCGTCTGCCGCCCTCCTTCCGCCGCCCCACTGAAAACGACAAGATTGGCCTAGAGAGTTTTATCCGTGCCAAGTAGGTGCCAAGTTCTCGTCCCCCTCTGCTCTTGTCCCCCGCTTCCCTTTCACCTCCCTCTCTTCCGCTGATTTGGCTGCTTGTATATCTCTCCCCCCCCTCCGCCCCTCCCCCCCCGCCCCTCCGCCCCGCCCCTTCCCCCCCCCTCCCCCTACTTCCTCGTATATTTCTATGTGTATGTATAATCTTTCTTGCTATCCTTTCTCATGTCGACTTACCATCTTATGGGTGGTTCTTTTGTTGTGTGTGTTGCTTGTAATGTTGGGCAGGTACGAGCAGAGGCGCTGGGTGGGTTCTGAACCCCCGCGAATCACCAACGGATCCAACAGTGCCGTTGCTGCTGGTGCAGGGAGGGAGGGACAGATGCAAGGGGGTCAGGGGCAGGGGCAGGGGCAGCAGCATCGTCATCACCACCATAGCCATCACCACCACCACCACCATCACCACAGGGCAGAACGAGCTGACCCGGCAGCAGCAGCAAGGCGTGAGGAGGTGAGTGCGTGAGTGAGTGAAGTGAGAGTTAATGGGTGAGCGAGTGAGTGAGCGATCAAGTGAGTGAGGGAGTGAGTGAGGGAGAGGCGAGGCTGCTTGTTATTGAAGTTTCTGGTACGGGTCATTGGGGTTGCTGAGCTTCAGTGTATTAGTTGGTACGCTCGGCTAGCAGAGTCTGACCTGGCTGGAGAGGAGAAGAAAATGAATCAAGTCAGGTGGTTGCTTGGGGCACAGATGCAACAGTGCATTCAGACCAAACTCTGAGGGAACAGACAGCATGCTTGGTTGGTACCATGCCATGCCATGCACGTTGCCGTTCGAAACAAGCTCTTTGAAATCTAGACATTATCTCCTCTGGAGCACCTGCCGTCTCTCATTCCCCGCTCCTCCCCTCCCCTCCCCCTTTTGCCCCCCCTCCCCCCTCCCCTCTTCGGCCTCCCCCTCTCGTCCCTCCCTTATCCCCCTCCCTGTTTACTTCTCAATCCGCAGGGTCGCCCCCATGGTGGTGTTCACTCATCAGCCAGGCCTGTTCCTACTACTGCCGCTGCCGCTGCTGCTGCTACTGCTCCTGCTGCTGCTAGCGCACCTTCCACAGCCCCCACTCGAGCCTCCGCCTCTGCTACCCCGTCCCCTGCGCCATCTCCAGCGCCTTCAGCCGCTCAGCCTGCTGCCCCGCCCCAGCCAGCTGATCTCTTTGACCTCCTCTCTCTCAACGACCCGGCTCCTGCTGCCGCTCCTGCTGCGCCTGCTCTTGCCAGCACCACCACGATCACAACGGAGTGGACGGCCTTTTCAGGTATGGCCCGTATGGGGTTTAGGGTCACAACAAACAATCGCCTCAGCTTGAGCATGCCCTCCTTGCAAGCAGCCACTTCGATAACAAGCTGTTTGAGCATGCCCTCCTTGCAAGCAGCCATTTCGAAATACAAGCTGTTTGAGCATGCCCTTCTTGCAGCATGCTCTTTGAGACTCCCAGTGGAACATTCAAGAATTGCAGTGAAATAATCGCAGGGAGAGTAAAACAAAACAGTATCAACTGAACCGGACTCACCATGACTGGCCATAAATCTCCCCTCCTCCTTGCTTCCCACTTTGCTGTGGCACAGACACAACCCCTTCCACCATGGCATCCGCTGCAGTGCAACTAGCAGCAGCAGCAGCCACTGCCGGTTCATGGTCCTTCACCACTCCCACTGCTGCAGCTGCTGCTACTGCCGCTGCCCCCGTTGCACCAGCGGCCACCACCACGCCGGCCATGTCTACAGCCGCCAGCGGCAGTGCCAAATCAGACATCCTCAGCCTGTTCGAGGTCCGTGTTCTCCTCCTGATCCTCCCAGCACAACCCTTTCTGGTTCTCCCTGTCTTTCCAAACCTACCTGTCCTCCCTGTCCTCCCGAACCTTCCTGTCCTCCCTGCCCTCCCGAACCTACCAGTCCTCCCTGCCCTCCCGAACCTACCTGTCCTCCTGAACTTCCGTGTCCTTTCTGTCCTTACGCCAGTAATATGCTGATTGGTTACCGACTGACATTGTCTTTATCTTATTGCCATTTTCCTCTTTCTTTATCTTGTTGCCTACTTCTTTCTATCTCATGCCTTCCTTGGCCTCGTCCCTATTTCTGCTACTATCCTCTCTGCTCTGTTTGCGCATCGTCATTCAGACGCCCATGGCAAGCCCCTATGCTCAGCATCAGCAGCAACAGCAGCAGCAGCAAATGATGATGATGATGCAGCAGCAGCAGCAACAGTATACGGCAGCAGTGGGAGGGGGGTGGGGCCAAGCTGCTGCTGCTGGCAGTAATGGCATGTGGCATGGGGGAGGTGGGGGGTTGCAGATGCAGCAGCAGTCACAGTACAACATGCAGATGCATGCAGGGTCAGTACATTCTCACCTACATTCATCGTTTCTATTTCACGTTGCCTTCTCACGATGGTTTTGCCATGCCAAGGCATAACTTTGTCAACTGCTGTTTCATATCGATTGGTCCTTTTACTTGCCACATCCATACCGCTTTGACTCCTTGCTTCTTTATCCTGTACTTCCACCCATCTCCATATTACCACACACACTCACCCACTCCCTTCTCCCCCCTTTGTTTCCCCCAACCCCTAAACCCATGCTCCATCTCCACAGAGCACATGCCATGTCCCAACCCCAGTTCCCTGGAACATACATGCACTCTGCCACTTACTTCAACCCTGCTGCTGCCGCTTCTACTGCTGGAGCGTACAGTGGTTACTCTGGCGGTTACCCCACACAGCCTATGACTCCTCCTAGCATGCCACATGTCAGCCCAGGATTCGCCAGTGGAGCGCCAGGAGTGCTCGCGGCAGGGCCTGTGTCCCCTGTGTCTGCTGCTGCTCCTGCTTATGACTTCTCGTACCTTACTGCTGCTGCTGCTCATGGAGTCTAGGCAGAGAGCAGGGCGAGAGCAGGCAGAGTGGGAGGTGTGGGGGTGGGTGTTACAGGTTGTTAGCTTGGCTGTTGCTACGGTTGTGAAAGGTTTATTTTGGCTGTAGTACGGTGCCCCTTCTTACCGGTGCTGTGCAGGTGGGACAGCGGGAAGGAAGGTAAGGAGCCTGGAGAAAGGTCATTGCTAGTGTAGGGGCCTTTGAGGGGTAACCACTCACTGGGGGTTGATTTCTAAGTGTTTTATCAGCTGCAGCTTCAGAGGGGAGACTGGTGCTTGTGCTTCGCGCCTGAGAGCGGTTGTAAGGTTGTGCATTTTGAGTTCTCAACTGTGCAGCTGTGTTTAGTCCACTTCGGTTTGCTTTGTAGACAAATTCTTGAACTTGATTTTTTGTTTTGCTGGCCTGACTCAAGACAGTGGCACAAGAAACGCATGTCTGGCCTTAGCTTCAGCTTAGGGAGATGCTTTCACTCTATGGAGCAGGCCCTCAAGTAAACAACACAATGTACAGTACCCCACCCCAAACCCATGATAACCTAGAAGGCCTGAGAACACCACCTGTCGCATCTACTAAGCAACAGTATCGTCATAGGTATTCATTATTTAGTACCTACATCACGCACCTGCATCACAAATGCCCACTATTACGATATAGCACGCACGGCAACAATTGGGCCTCCGTCGCACACAAGCCGGCCCTTGAAGGGTTCCTTCCTTCCCCCAATCCAATCCGTACATTCCTCATACGGTACCGTTCGTACCCATTCCACCTTCACAGAACTACAAAGTTCACCATCAAATATCCTGCACAAATCCATCCAAACACATGCCAACCACCCACTTCTGCCTTCCCTCCCCGGACCTCCTTGTCTCACTCGCTACAATGCCCTGCCTTTCAAGCACATGGTACCACAGCCAGAGTCCTCTTCTGCACAACACCACACCCTCTCCTGATGCCTTCCTTCCTCTGCCTCCTCCAATTGGCTAGGATCATTTTGGAAGTCAGCTCTTGTCTTACACCCCCTCCCCCACCACCTTAGCTCCACGTCCCCCCACCTCCCTCCTCCCACCCTTGCTCCCCTAATCAGCACCCTCCTATCCATTTGCCTGCAGCACTTCCTTTTGCGTTGCTCCCCCATTCTTTCTTGCAGATGCCCTCAGCCCCCTCCCGCCCCTGTACCCCCTGTGCCCCCTGTACCCCCTGTACCCCCTGTACCCCCTGTACCCCCTGTGCCCCCTGTGCCCCCTGTACCCCCTGTACCCCCTGTACCCCTGTACCCCCTGTGCCCCCTGTACCCCCTGTGCCCCCTGTGCCTCCTGTGCCCCCTGTGCCCCCTGTGCCCCCTGTGCCCCCTGTGCCCCCTGTGCCCCCTGTGCCCCCTGTGCCCCCTGTACCCACTGTGCCCCCTGTGCCCCCTGTACCCCCTGTGCCCCCTGTGCCCCCTGTGCCCCCTGTGCCCCCTGTGCCCCCTGTGCCCCCTGTGCCCCCTGTGCCCCCTGTGCCCCCTGTGCCCCCTGTGCCCCCTGTGCCCCCTGTGTGCCCCCTGTACCCCCTCTCCCCACTCTGTTCCTTTCCCCCATTCACTGCACGTCACTACCAGCCACTTCTGATCCCGACGGAGCCATCCCTTCCCCTCTCACCACACCATTTTCATTCATCACCCCTGCTCCTCCTCCTCTCCCGCTCCCCCCGCCTCTCCCCCCTCTGCTTTGAGGCCTCGAGAGTGGAGCACTACTCGGGCCGCATCCGAGTATAGCAGTTAAAGCCCACTGATGCGAGCTCTTTCTATGCAGCTCGTGAATCACCGCGGCGCGGCCCTTACTCGCGTTCTGCTTGCCCTGCTGCCGCGACATGCGGACATACACCAGCGCTGCAAGCCCCGCCGCCGTCAGCAGCGCCACCAGCCCCGCCACCACCCCCACCGCGATCTTCCACGCGGGGACTGACGAGTCCGGGGGAGGCGGAGGGGGCGGCGCCGGCGGGGATGGCGGAGGCGGGGGGACGTACGGCGGGGGGGGTGGGCTCGGGGGAGCGAGAACCGGAGGGGACGGGGCGGCGATATTCGTGCTGGTCCAGCAAAGCGCGAGGTAGTTATTCGTAACGACGCCCACCGCGCACGGCGCGTATAGCGTCACGGGCTTGCTAGAGTCCGCGCCTACCAATTGTTCGTATTGAGTCACCTGACCGTTGGGGGTAATGTTCGCGCATTGATAGTTTCCCCCCGTGGTCAACGTGTCGACCTTGGGCATGGAAAAATACACCACGATAGGTTTGTTCGCGGAAGTTGCGGCCAGCATCAGCGGCGGCTGCAGGACGGAAGGCAACCCGCCGCCCTGAGAGCCTCCGCCTCCGCCTCCGCCCACGCCGCCGCCGGTTCCGCCAGGACCTCCGGGACCTACTTGAGCGGCGCTCGCTCCTGCGCCCTTGCTTCCGCTCCCGCTTCCGCTTCCGCTTCCGCTTCCACCTCCGCCTCCGCTTCCGCTTGCCGCGGTGGTCGTGGTCGCGAGCACGGACGAGGTGTAAGTCAGCAGCGCCACTTGCGGCGACACGAAGCTCATCGGCTTGAGGTAAGCCGTCGCGGCGGCGGAAGACGACGAGCCGGGAGATGCGGAGGAGGTCGAGGAGTTGCTGAACGGCCACGTGGACGAAGCCGGCGTGGGAATGGCCGCGTCTGGCGCGGATATTTTGACGTACATCAGCACTACTGTGTCGATTCCGCCCGCGGGACCTCCGCTTCCTTTTCCGCCAGGCCCGCCGCTTGCTGCGGGAACCTGGCTAGTAACGTTCACGGCTTTCGGAAGGCTGAACTCGAACCACTCGAGCGACGCCAATTGCGCTACGGCGAGCGGCCATACCTCCACGCGGACCTCGACCCCTTCCGCAACGAGCCCGCTAACTGCGGCGCTAACATCGGCGGGTTTCACGGAGCCGTTCTTGCCCTGCTGTGACGGGTCGGCGAGGATGGTAGCGGCGGTTTTGAAGGCGAGCGGCTGCACCGCGCGCACGACCTGCTCGAACGGCGTGCGCGGGGGGACGTGCGGCGGAAGCGGAACGACGGCGCGCTGGAGGCTCCGGACGGGGATGGAGAAGTGCGGGTGAAGCGCGGAAGGCGGGAATGACGGGCGGAGGGAGCGGACGCGGAAGGCGTTTGCGGAGGCGGGAGCGGGGGAAGAAGGGGGAGCGGGGGCAGCGGCGTCAGCGGTGGCAATGAAAGGAATGGCGCTGAGCACTGTGTGTCTTTGGCAAGTGAGGGATGATTGGAAAGAGCAGAGGGAAAGGGCGGCGCAAATGATAAGATCGAGACGGTTGGTCGCGGAAACGGAGAAACGTCTGCAAGCGGAATGGCGCCTGAGAGCTTGGCCGCGTCGGCTCGGTTCTCGAAGCGCGCGCGCCATCTGCGCGCGCTCGCCAGCGAAGCGCGTAAATTAAGTACAGAACAAGATGCTATGCTTGCTCAGTTCTATGACACGACTTTCCCTCCGTCGCCGACCTAATCAGCGGGAACACAAGGCAGACGGCTTGCCTTGCGCTCTCAGTGGCAAGTTCAGTGTACAGTAGCGTTGATGGCCGCAATGCTCTCCCCTAACCAGCCACAAGCCATACCACACCACACCGCCCACAAGATAGACTGACTGAGGCTAGCCTCAAGCTGCCTCGGAAACAACAGCTTCGCAAGCGAAAGTGCAAATTCTTGGACTGGGCCGCGAGCCAACTGCCCGAGTGACTAAAAATGGAGCAAGACCCACGAATGATCATGGCCATGCTGCCACGAAAGGGGTGCTTTGCTTTGAAGCAGCTTCACAAAACATGCCGCAAAAGAACGAGATTCGGTAGGGGCGGAGAGGGTTGAAAAAGGAAAAGGCTGCTGCTTTTTGTACAGTGCAGTATGAAGGTGCAGTGTACTGTAACAAGGCCTGGCAACGGTCATCCCAAAACGTTCTCTGAACAGATTTGGCTGGCTGGGACTGGCATGTGGGCGAGCAGCCTTTTGCTCGTGCCCTGAAACGTCGTACAGTTCTCCCACACACACACCCGCGCGTACAGTACATTGCCGCACCTGACGTGGTCGTGGGCTGCAGTTCTGCTTCATAAGGGGGCAACACCAAACCAACCCTTCTTCCCAAACCAACTTCTGAACCGACATTATTGGGGGGGGCGCAAGAAATTGGCGGAAAGTAGAAGGTAAATACTGTACATGACGCATTCAAGCCCTGTATGAACCTTAGCACGTATGAAAGCGGGAAGAGGGCATTCCAGCACCTTCTACAATAACACAATATAGGTCTAAATGCTTTCAGCATTCTCATGTGCCGACAGTGCCCTTACACTGTAGTCTATTACTGGCATCCTAATTCAAGCATTTGGCTAATAGTTTTATTTGGTTCCAGACTGAATACAAATATTATGTCTTACTGCATTCTGCTGACAGCAGTTAGCCCCAATCTAAGATCCCAGCTCTGTTTCACATCAGACCAGCTGTAGCATGGGCAATGCAAGAACCCTGAACACGCTGTAACCTCCCCCCTCTTTTTCCAAAAATCCTTCCCTATCTCCCTTCTCTGATATCTCCACTGACGCCCTCACCTAAAGAACTCTCCCCTGTGAAAACTTCACCTGAAATGCCTTGCATCTCCGCACTCCCCACATCTGCTAGCTCTTTGCTATCCTTCTCCGCACCAGTATCCCCTTCACTCCGCTTGCTTGTCAACTCCCCCTTGCTTCCTTTGCTCCGCAAACTCCCCCCCACTCCAAACCACCAGCGGTTCTTACCTGCAGAGTGCATTGCAGCAAACACAGCTGCACGGCCCCTGTCCAGATTCTTATCCCCCTGCTCCCTCTGCTGCCGCCGCACCAGCCAGACGTATAGAAAGCCCGCAACAGCCGCCAACAGTAGCACTCCTAGCGCCACGCCCACGCCCATAAACACCCCCGCATTGCTCCCCGCGGGAGGCGGAGGAGGCGGAGGAGGAGGCTCTGTGACTGGTGCGGGCGGGGGGGGAGGGGGAGAGGGGGGCGGGCTGGGGGGCGGAGGAGGTGGGGAAGGGGAGGGTGGGGGCGGAGGCATGGGGGGAACGGTGGAGGGGACGACGAGGTTCACGAACTGGTCCGTAAGCATGTCTTCCATGCACTTGCGCTTCAGGGCTACACCGCCGTCACTATTGACGTACCCTTGTTCGGTCTGTGAGGGGTATACGCGAAAATCGCCGCTAAGTGCGACCGAGAAGCACTCGTAAGGAAGCTGAAAGCTCGCCAGGGACGTCAAGTAATTAAACTGCTCAGCGACTCCGGCGAAAGAGATGGGCGCTGCCAGCGATGCTGCCAGCGGCGACTGCGGCGGCGGCTGCGGAACGGGGCCCGCTCTGTACGGCTGCATTACAGCACCAGGGTACCCCTGAAAGGAGATAACGGACGGGAAGAAGCTCGCCGTGAAGGAATGGACGGGAGGTTTGCGCGCAGCAAACGGCCAATTCGCAGACGGCGCGAGCGGAGGCGACGACGGGTTGGTGTCGCGCATCGTGATCTTGACGTACACGAAAACCAGCTCTGTTAGGTCCGATGAATAGGCCGGGTCGATTGGCGAGATTGTAGGAGGCACGCCAATGTCGTTCTTTCTGTACGCCCACATTATGGAGAGGTTTGCTTTGTATAACGGCCACACCTCTAGCTGCAACTCGAAGCCCGGTACGAGAAGCTTGCTGAGCGTTGATTGGGCTGATGGCGGGAAGTCAGGATAGGGTATGGTGACGGGTTGTATTTCGCCCATTTTCGTCGCTGCGGCTTTCGCGAACGCTATTGGCTGCAAGATTGCCATCAACTGCGTGTACGCGGAGGCGGAAGAAGCGGGCGGAGGGGGGAGGGATGAAGCGCGGGAATAAGCGCTGAGAGGCGGAGGCGGCGGAGGCGCTCCGGCGACGAAATGCGCGCGGGACGATTCGCGGAGGGGAAGCCGCAACTGGAGCGTGGAGCGGGAGCGGGAGAGGGTTACGCGCGGCGGGAGATGCGCGGAGCTAAGGGCGAGGAGGAAGAGAGTTGCGGAGAGCTGAATGAAGACAGCGAAAGAGAACGTGCCGCGGCTCGTCGAAAGATGGCGACGATGACGGCGACATGGAGGCGATGGATGAGGCGGCGGTGGCGAGTGTCGCGTGTATGGATGCTGCGGCAGGGATTCCATGGCGGAAGAGTGGAGGAAAGAACGAGAATGATGAGCGGAGAAGTGGCTTCTAGTTGCGTTGCAAGGGCTATCGGCTGATGATCGACGAGTGCGGTTCCCGTGAGCGGTGTGGGAGAGCAGTTCTCGAAGCTTGGTCGACAAGACGAACTGTACACACAGGCATGGTCGTATCCAGACAGCACACCTTTGCAGATTGTTGAACAGGTTTTCCTTGAATGTATGGGTAATTCTACCTATTTGAAAAACAAATGCCCGATTTCATTCCGGTCCATTTCAGGGTCGGATATCTTTGCACTACTGTATTGTATCCGAGATTGGTGCTTTAGGACGGATATTTTCTTTCACATTCAGATCCATCGCTAACAACTCTGTTCCACATTTCTCGACCCGAGTGGGGGCTAACTTTCCTCACTTGAGAAAATCCCCGCTCACCAGCCTCATTAATTCGTTATCTCTTGTAGGACTAAACTCAAGCGTACCTAGCGTGAAGCGATCTGCTCAAATCTTCGATTCCAGCTCTCATCAGGGCGCATTCCTAGCTCGTGTCTGACATCATGTCAGACACGAAGTGGAGGCTCGGAAGACCCGAAGTGGCTCGGAATAGGGGCAAATCAACATTCGGAAGAGATTAGAGACTAAGGGTTGATGACTTGATGTCAGACACGAGATAGGAATACACCCACAGTTGACAAACTATCTCTGTTGCCCTTTTGGGCGTTGTGGCGCGGTAACTTTGAAATGACGAAGTGGCAGAATAGCAAAGAAAAGTGAGTTGTTATTGCTTGCTGTTGCAAAAAAAACTTCCCGCAAATTCCCGTGAACAAAACCCACGAGGACGCGACACATCATTACCGTTAATTTTGATTGGGCAACAAATGTAACGCGGACGAGATAAATATGTTAGCGCTGGTCGGTCCACTAAGAAGCCGAAAGAGCTATAAAAGTGCACTCCAAGCTTATGTTAAAATTTCAACAATGATGTTGATTTTCCATGCACATATTACAAACAGAACCACAGGGGAAGAACACCAGAGGGTAGAATACAGGAATCAAACCTACAACTATTGATTATATACAATTTCACGTCGTACGAACTTGGTTAAAGCTCAAAGCTCCAGTCTGAAAATCTTCAAGACGAAGCATTTGTCCTCTGCTCATCTGTTGTAGCAGATCCTCCCTCCACAGTCGTGTCTTCAGAGCTTGGGTTGTATGCCCTTCGCTTCGAGAGCCCAGAAACCACATCAGGATATGGCTTAGATCCAGAGCTAGTACGCTCTTCCGTGGGCAAATCTGCCTTCTCGCGCAACCTTGTCTCAAGGTCATCGCCCAATGCGGGCGAGCGTCCCTTGCGTGCTTGCTTGTTCCCCTGCCATGCAAATTATCATCAATGCAAACCAGCTGTGATAAGTACCACCAAATAAATTAGCGTTGATTACAATCTGGATGCCTGCAACCAACCCACCTCCACAAGAAGAGCGACAAAAGCAGGTAACCCATTGTCGTTCACAAACTCAGCCATCGCCTGGCGTGTGGGCGCATCCAAAGACTCAACCACCCGTTTCTCCTCCGGTCCCCACGCCCTCATCCCCCCTCCATTTCCCGCCCCTGCAGCCCACACCCCTTCAGAAACCCCTGCAGCCGTCCTCCCCTCCAGAGAACCTTCAGCCTCCCGCTCGCGCTTCCCCTTGAGCTTGCGCACGCGTGCGCGACCAAGAGCCTTGACGTGGAACGGATGGACGAACGTATCATAGATGAGCGCAGCGCCATGGTAGTTGGGTAGCACGAGCCAGGCGAAACCAGCTAGCTTCGCGAGTGAATAAAGAGGGATCCTGCTCGCAGCGAATGAATGAAGAGCAAATGTTAATCAAAACTAAAATAAATACGACAAAAGACGGCTTTGAAGCCCATTGTAGTGGAAAATCTTTCTTACCAGGACAATATGGGTGCAAGAAAATGCTCGAGGGTGGAGACGATGGAAAAAAGGACCCAGTAGGTGAGCCACTGGCGCACCGCGGATGGCTCAGCGTACTCAATGGTCCGAACGAACTCCAGGCTGCGTGCAGAAACAAACAAATCATTCATATTCCATCCTTCCGAAACCCTAATTCAATTTGAACAGTTAGCAGTTAGCAGGTTACTCACAGAGGATAACCGAGCATAAGGACGGGCCTGCAAGATAAATTTGCAAAAGAAGAATGTTAGTAAAACTTCCAGCTGTTCGCTGCTTCACGTCACATCCTTTGCGACAACACTCACCCAGCCAGCCTCAGTATGGAGCTGAACAAGAAGAAAGGGTTGGAGAAGGAATAGCTTCTTCTAGCAGTAGTTCCAAATATCCCACCAATTCTTGATCCGATCCCCAAGCCGCGGGTAAAATTACTGACTATCGCCATAACGAATGTATGCAGACGACTAACACAACTGCTTGTTCTATGCTGATACGATCGGATTGGCCAGAAGAAACTGCAGCAGGCTACGCAAGAGAAGCTGGAATCTCCCAGGCGACGGACTGGGTGAAATAGTAGACGATCTTGCTCATGTACTGCGAGAGGTCAAGCCTGCTTCGTGGAGGGAAGCGATTCATAGAGAGAGAGCGACATTTTCCAACCGATGGACGAGAGCTCAGGAGAGAGGAAGAGTGGCGAAGCGTGTAGCGGAGCTCCATACGCAGGGAACAGAGAGAGAGGCTTGCGGGCCAAATTCTGAAATTGGTTTGTGAGCTGACATGAATTTCATTCTCCGAATCGCCCTGACGAACATGCACACCCAATGCGGGTATTGAGTGGGTACCACGTGGAAGAAATTGGGGCTGTTCTGTCGTGGCAGAGTATGCTTTCTTCTGGACGGCTCGTTTAGAGACCCTTCAAGAGAACGATATTCACACATTATTAAGTGCGCTCCATACGATGTGCATGTATATCACATCATCCCACACGTTCTTTAAACACCTACATAAGACAGGAAGGGGTTGTGTTTTGCACATGCCCTGAAAAATTAACGCTTCTTAAATGGTGCACATTGAGTGGGTACAGCGTATTCATCATAAAACACCATGCACAAAGCATTCATGTTTGAACCCTACAGACGTGCAGCCCGGCGTGTGATAAACGGACGGAGGTACTCCTCATAGCCATCGATAACATCCGGGATGTTCATTGGATCTGCAGTGGCCCGGCTGACAAGATCCGTGTAGACATCGCCATTGAAGCGCCCCAGAGAGGAGTTGAGGAAATGATCCGAGAACTGAAAGGCGTCCACCAATGGCACTGCGATTCGTCGCACCTGAAAAGTAAGAGCAGCAAAGATAATGAACAAACTCGCACCGAATCCAACTGCAATTCAACACAATCACACCACCGCCCCCACATTCTTGTCCACATATTCACTCCCCTTCCGCTCGCCTCTGATCCCCCACCTCCTACATCCCTCCCGCCCCACGTCTGCACCACAAGGCCCTCATACTCTTCCCTGTCGTTCCAACAGATAGGTGCAATAGGGTGCAGGTGGGTGGCAAGGCAAGGCGCACCTGGGGCAGCAGAGCGAGCAGCTGCTGTCGCACGAGGGCAGGGTGGTCGGGGCTGAAATACTCTCCAGCCACGAGGTCGCCAGCAGAGGCGTCTACGAGGTGCAGGCAGTACAGGTCGCACAGCAGCTGCAGTGCGTTCAGCACACCCTGGCTCGTCCTGCCCTTGTCCCTCAGCTCCTGCACTCGCTCCACAAACCTGGTGAGGTAGGTGGTGGGATTGGGAGGTGTGCAGGCATGAATGAGGTCAGCTGCAGAGGCGTCCAGACCCCCCTGGCTCGTCCCGCCCTTGTCCCTCAGCTCCTGCACTCGCTCCACAAACCTGGTGAGGTGGGTGGTGGGATGTTGAGGGGTGATTGGAGCCAGATGCCGACGAAAGGAAAGGGATTTTTTTTTTTTTTTTTTTTTTTTTTTTTTTTTTTTTTTTTTTTGCATTTGGTATATCAGATCTGCCTTTATCCCTTGGATCCTACACACACTCCAGGAATCCGGTGGGGAGGGTGGTGAGGCGAGGGGTTGATGTTGGAGGGAAGAGCAGTCATGGAAGATGGGAGGAAGAACAGGAAAGCGAGAAACAGAGGACAGTGGGTTTGCTCTAAGTGACATGCGAGGAATAGTGGCAGAAAAGTAGGAATGTGTAGAATGGTGGTGATGGGAGAGTCAGAAGCCAAGTGGGCAAAAAACAAGAAAGATATCAGTCAGACGATATCATACTTGGCAGCAGATATGAGGCGGCAGTGGGCAGTGGAGGCTGATGTGAGAGCCACACTGTTGTCGAGGAAGCCTGAAACGCGTACAGGGGTATGGGCATGAGTACGGGAGCAACACACAATAAACACTGGTCAGGTCGGAGCAGGAAGCAGCAGGGCATTGTAACAAGGGGCAGGGCAGTCGAGCAAGCGAGTCACGACAGGGAACTGAGGCTCGGGGCATAGCAGCACGTTCATGCAACCAGATGATACTACAGCTGTCCACGGGGCACACTTGAAGAGGAGAACATGCATGACACAGACGTTCAGAAAACAAAACAGAGGCTGCGGCACTGAGGCTGCAAATGCAACACCATTCCACCCTCTCACGTTGTTTCAGGCATCAATCCCCCCCCCCCCCCCCCCCTCCCTCCCCCACCTTCCAGCAACATCCTGACCTATCAGGTCTCCCACCTTTTTCAAGAGAAGGGGCTGCAGCAACAGCGGTGGCGGCAGCGACAGCCTTATGGAAAGCACATGCCTGCAGTGCTGCCAACTGTGTGGGCGTCTGGAGGAAGTCCGAGGCTGAGAGGGGCGAGGGGGGTGGAGTGGGGCCAGGATAGAACGAGAGAGAGAGAGGAGGGACGGGGGAGAGGCAGGACATGGGGAAGAGGATGAATGGGGACGAATGTGCACGAATGGCCATCAATGGGCGTGAACAGCCACCTCCAGATATGTGCAGCAGAATACTCACGAGCCAAAAAAAACATTCCCCCCCACTTATCCCCTCCCTTCCCACCTTGCATGCACCCAACAATGCCAGCAGCGCACCCACCAGTGTCAGCAGTGCACTTGGCGGTGAGGTTGTTGGCGTCACCCAGGTATGCTGCCGTGCCCCCCGGCCTCTTGCCCTCTGACGCCTGACTCACTGCCTTGAGCAGGTACCGCGCTACCTGCCATGCCACACACATGAGGACAGGTGGGGAGTGCAGGAAGGAAACATCCAGCTCAAACCGAAGGTGACGGGAGAGGGTGCAAAACCGAGCTCAACCAGCCCAGACCAGCAGCCCAGTGCAGGTAGTGCACAGAACAGAAACCACGCTTCCCCCCCCATCCCAGGCTCACCTGCAGCAGCAGCACGGTGTTGTCACCCTCGTACGTGCACGTGGGCACAAAGGCAGGAAAGTTACAAAACAACTCTATCCAGCCCAACCAGCAGCACGGCGCTAACTGAACAGCGTTTATTCTCCCTTCCAGCTCACCTGCAGCAGCAGCACGGTGTTGTCCCCCTCGTATGTGCATGTGGGCACAAAGGCAGCGTAGAGCTGAGGCAGGGCGGAGAAGAGCGAATACCCGTGGCCCCCGCACAGCTTGCGACACTCCTCTATGCCCTCCTGCCATGCCGCAGGGGTGGATGGGGGAGGGGGGGATAACGGGGATAAGAGAGGTAAGGGGATGATTGGCATGTCTTTCCGGGGCACCTTGAAGCCCAAGCGAATCTGAGGCAGCGCGGAGATTCGGAGAAGAGCGAATACCCGTGGCCCCCACACAGCTTGCGACACTCCTCTATGCCCTCCTGCCATGCCGCAGGGGCGGACGGGGGGATGCATGGGGGGGAGGGTGGGAGGAAGGGAATTAGTTTTTTGGCGCTGATCTCAAGGCACGTAGATATTCCAACAACACCTCTTACCCTTCCCGGCACGTGCCTACCTTCAACGTGCTGCACTTTACTTCCATCACCACCATTACACCAGAAATCATACACGTCTCCTTTCTACCTATTCCCTCTTCCTTTCCCCTACACCTCTGCATTTCCCTTACAAACTCTCCCCGCTCCCTCCCCCCTCCCCCCTCCCCCCTCTCTCACCGCAGTGGTAGCAGTGGTGAGCGCCTTGAGCCCAGCAGTGGCGGCGTGGACTTCAGGCAGGGTGGAGTAATAGCCCCTCTTGATGCGTGCCACCACGTCGCTGTACAGCTCCGCCATCCACTTGCCCCTCCCTTCCCCCTCCCATGCCCCTTCCATGCCCCTCCCATGCCCCTTCCATGCCCCTCCCATGCCACTCCCATGCCCCTCCCATGCCCCTCCCATGCCCCTCCCATGCCCCTCTCTACCTTCTCCCTGGTCATCCACACCACACACATCCCCATTCCTACTTTCATCCCTCTTCCCCAACAACCATCCCCCTGCGTTTCCTCCCCCTACCCCCCTGCTCCATGCTCCTCCCCCCACCTACTCACCGCAGTGGCAGCAGTGGTGAGCGCCTTCAGTCCAGCCGTAGCAGCATGCACTTCCGGCAGGGTGGAGTAGTCGCCCCTCTTGATGCGTGCCACCACATCGCTGTACAGCTCCGCCATCCACTTGCCCGCGAACAGGAACGCGTACGCGGAGGCGATCAAAGGGAGAAGACGCATCTGCTGCGTCTGATAATCCATCACCTGAAGGCGTGTGGGGTAGGGTGGGGGGTAATGGTGGAGAGGTGGAGGGAAGGAGTGTAGTGGTGAAAAGGAGGAGGGAGGGGAGGGGGGTAGTGGTAGAGAGGTGGAGGGAGGGGTGGGGGCAGTAAACAACTAGAGGGTGGTAAGGGGTTCGGGCGTAATGAGTGAGTGAGATGCGCGCCACCACATCGCTGTACAGCTCCGCCATCCACTTGCCCGCGAACAGGAACGCGTACGCGGACGCGATCAGGGGCAGCAGCCGCATCTGCTGCGTCTGATAATCCATCACCTGGGGGGGGCAGTTGCAGGAGAGGGAGTGAGCGGTGGGAAGGGAGTGAACGACTCAAGGGTGAAAAGCGTTTTTTGGGGAGGTAGTGGTAGGTAAGGCAGCGGCCGCAACTGCTGCGCCCGGTAGTCCGACACCTGATGGGGGCGTTGCAGGGGGGAACGGGAATAGTTGCTGTGAGGAGGAGGGAGGAGTGGAAGAGTAGAGAGCCCTAGAAGTTGCTTGTCAGTGGCTTCCCCCAGTCCCCATCCCCCAGTCCCCTTCCCCCAGTCCCTCCGCTCCCCTCCCCTCCCTCCCATCTTCCTCTCCTCCGCACTCACCTTTCTCTCCGCCCCCCCTTCAGTGGTGCCGAACTGGCGGCGCACGCACGAGTAGCGTGCAGCGATGGTGACGGCACGGCCGAGAGCCACCCCCGACTCCATCACGATGCTGCGCCGCACAAACACCATCGCGCCGTACGCCAGCTGCCTCGCCGCTGCACTGCCCACCTAGACCCGCGTCCCCTTACCCCTAACTCCCTTCTCCCCACCGCACCAACCCCTCCCCCCCCCTCCTTCCCCCGGTCCCTCCCTTCCCTTCCCATCCTCCATACCTTGCTCTCCGCCCCCCCTTCGCTTGATCCAAACTGGCGGCGCACGCACGAGTAGCGTGCAGCGATGGTGACGGCACGGCCGAGGGCGATCCCCGACTCCATCACGATGCTGCGCCGCACAAACACTATCGCACCGTACGCCAGCTGCCTCGCCGCTGCACTGCCGCGATGGTACTCGCCTGACCGGTCCACGCCAGCGTACCTGGTGATGAAGTGGGACAATGGGGCAACGGGGAAACGGGGCAATGAGGCAATGGGGCAATGGGGCAATGACTTTTGAGGCGCCTCAACCAAACACCATTGCGCCGTACGCCAGCTGCAGAGCCGCTGTGCTGCCGCGGTGGTAGTTGCCCGACCGGTCAACGCTGGCGTGCCTGGTGATGTGACATGATGTGATGTGATGTGACGTGATGTGATGTGATGTGATGTGATGTGATGTGATGTGATGTGACGTGACGTGACGTGACGTGACGTGACGTGACGTGACGTGACGTGACGTGATGTGATGTGATGTGATGTGATGTGACGTGACGTGACGTGACGTGACGTGACGTGACGTGACGTGACGTGATGTGATGTGATGTGATGTGACGTGACGTGATGTGATGTGATGTGATGTGACGTGACGTGATGTGATGTGATGTGATGTGATGTGATGTGATGTGATGTGACGTGATGTGACGTGATGTGATGTGATGTGACGTGATGTGATGTGATGTGATGTGATGTGACGTGATGTGATGTGATGTGATGTGATGTGATGTGATGTGATGTGATGTGATGTGATGTGATGTGATGTGATGTGATGTGGGGCCGTGCGGCAATGTAGCTATGCAGCCATGTGTCAACACGGAATTGTGGCATGTGTGGTGGTGGCGAGGGGTTGGACACGAAATGCAGAGAGAAAACACAAGGGTAAGTAGGGGAACAAAGAGGAATGGAGGGGGAAAGGAGAGGTAAAATAGGATGGTAAATTAGGAGAAAGAGCACATGTGGAGTAACAGAACCAATACCTGCGCGCACGCATGCACGCTCACATGAATGGAGAAGGTGCATACATGGATTGAGCGGGTGAACGCACTGACCGCATAGGCATGCTGACGCGCGGCTTTGGAAACAACAAAAAGGCATGAATGCCTTACGAAAATGAGTGAGCGAGTGAGTGCGTGAGAGAGTGAGTGAGAGAGAGTGAGTGAGCAAGTGAGAGAGCACGTGCACTGACCGCATGAGCATGTTGGTGCGCGGGATGCGCACGTGAGAGAAGGCGAGGAAGCCGTTGTCCATGGTGTTGTACCCCATGTTGCCAAACTTGGGCCCTATGTCGCCCACCGCCACCCCCGGCAGCGGCTTGTGGTCGCTCAGACTGCGAATGGGCACCAGAAAGGCTGCAAGTGACGGGCAGCACGGAGGGGAGGGAGAGAGGGGAGAGGGGACAGGAGGAACGAAAGGGAGGAAAGGAGGGGAGGTAAGGCGGGGAGACAGGAAGCGAGGCATCATGGAGAAGGGAGGATAAGAGGGGGAGGCAATGAGGGGGGGGAGCGATGGAAGGCGAGGAAGCCGTTGTCCATGGTGTTGTACCCCATGTTGCCGAACTTGGGCCCTATGTCGCCCACCGCCACCCCCGGCAGCGGCTTGTGGTCGCTCAGACTGCGAATGGGCACCAGGAAGGCTGCGGGTGAGGGGAAGCAGGGTGGCGAGGTGGGGAGGGGAGGGGAGGGGAGGGGAGGGAAGGGGAGGGGAGGGTAGGGGAGGGGAGGGGAGGGGATGGGAGGGGAGGGGATGGGAGGGGAGGGGAAGGAGGTGGAAAAACGTGAGGGGAGGTAAGGAGGTCATTCCACCACTCGCCTCAACAGTTTCATCTCTCTCTCAACCCACACACCCCCCTGCCTCACCACACACGCCCTGCTCTCACAACACACGTCCCCCTCTCATCACAACAGCTCCCTGCACTCACCAAACAAACGCCACTCGCGCCACCCCTCTCTCCCACACCCAACCTCCCCCTCGCACCACAAACCAAACCCCCTCCTCTCCGCCTCCCTCCCCCTTGCACCATACGTGCCCTTCACCTCCCCCCCCTTTTCCTCGTACCATGCACGCCATGGTCCTTGCCCTTGCTGATAAGCCTCGCATACACCACCGCATGTTTAGACGCCTTGCAGGCGGCTCTCTCACGCCGCGCGGCCACCCCCTCCCCCCCCCCCCCCCCCCCCCCTCCCTTCTTCATACCGTGCACGCCGTGGTCCTTGCCCTTGCTGATAAGCCTCGCATACACCACCGCGTGGTTGGACGCCTTTCCCAACTCTCTCACGACGCACGGCCATCCCCCCCCCCTCCTCCCTTGATCATACCGTGCACGCCGTGGTCCTTGCCCTTGCTGATAAGCCTCGCATACACCACCGCATGGTTGGACGCCTTTCCCAACTCTCTCACGACGCGCGGCCATCCCCCCCCCCCTCCTCCCTTGATCATACCGTGCACGCCGTGGTCCTTGCCCTTGCTGATAAGCCTCGCATACACCACCGCGTGGTTGGACGCCTTTCCCAACTCTCTCACGACGCGCGGCCATCCCCCCCCCCTCCTCCCTTGATCATACCGTGCACGCCGTGGTCCTTGCCCTTGCTGATAAGCCTCGCATACACCACCGCGTGGTTGGACGCCTTTCCCAGCCCTCCCGGCCACCACTGCAGCACGCACGCGAGGGAGAGAGAAGGGCGCGCGGACACGAGAGGGAGAGCAATCAGGAAAGAGGGGCCGTGGCGGAGGGCGCGCAGCAAGAGGCTAAAGAGAAAGACGTGCATACCAGTGGAAGAAGATACCAGCTGAACAGGTGCGGCTGTGCAAACGAGCACTGAGGCAACAAGGAACGGCTGGGCACAGCACGGCACAGCGCAGCACCACACACCGCACCGCACCGCACCGCACCGCACAGCACAGCACGGCACAGCACGGCACGGCACGGCACGGCACGGCACGGCACGGCACGGCACGGCACGGCACGGCACGGCACGGCACGGCACGGCACAGCACGGCACGGCACAGCACGGCACGGCACAGCACAGCACGGCACAGCACAGCACAGCACGGCACAGCACAGCACGGCACGGCACAGCACAGCACGGCACAGCACGGCACAACACGGCACCGCACTGCACCGTACTGTACCTTAGTAGCAGTGATGGTGGGCGTGTGCACGTCCCACTCATCCGTTTCCGGCACATAAGTGGCTGTAGTCTCAAGCCCCTGCACGTTGCTCCCGTGCCCCAGCTCCGTCTGCGCATAGCACCCAATCCACTCAAACGCCCGCGCCTTGGGCAGCCACTCGCGCCCCTGCTCATCCGTGCCCTGCCCCTCTATAGCGGGGATGAACATGTACTGCCAGTCAAGGGACGCCGGGGGAAGGCGGGAAGACCAGTGCGGGGGAGGGAGAGGAAAACGGTGTGAAGGTGGAATGAGTGAGGGAGGATGGGGGAGTTGGAGTAAGGGAGAGGGGAAGGGGGGGTGGGTTGGGGGTGAGGAGGTGGGGGAGGAAGAGCACGGATGATAGAGCGAGAGGATGAAAGGCGGCTCTACAGCCACGGTGGTTCGGTGGGTTTGTTGAGTCCGGAGCATGTTGGAACAAGGGCGAGCGAAGCTTGGTTTAGTATTCCGGAAAAATCAGGGGGAGGGAGGAGAGAGAGTAGGAGGGGGGCGAGGGGATGCAGTTGGGGTTGAAGCGAGACGAGGACGAGGGCAGGGGAGAGTGGAGGAAGAAGGGAGGGTTACCGAGTGCAGGTCAGAGAAGTTGATCCCGTCGACCATAAGCTTGAAGAGGGATTAACTAATGAGGCTCGACTCTCCCGTGCCGTGCTCTCTCCTCACAAAGAGAGCACGGCACGGGAGAGTCGAGGGAAGAAGGGAGGGTTACCGAGTGCAGGTCAGAGAAGTTGATATCATCGACCATTTGCTTGAACAGGTAGCGCTCCTCCTCTGCACACACACACACACACACACACACACACACACACACACACACACACACACACACACACACACACACACATACACACAGTCACAAACCAAGACACAAACATGACTACTTATCAAACCTGCACGCTATAAGAAACGGGCAACCAATCAGTGCTCATGCCAAAACGATTCAGGACAAGATAGTAAAGGACAAGATAGGTACAGGACAATATAGGCGCCCCAGAAGCTTTGAGGCAAACACACGTGCTCCATGGCATGGTGCGTCGTGGATGCATCTCCAACATCTCGACAGCCAGCAGACGAAGAGCCACAAGAACCACACGAACCACAACAAGCGATGGGAAAAGGGGTGAATCGAGCACGCACCGTTGAGCTGGAGCTGGAGCTTCTTGTCCTTGACGCGCTTGCTCATGTGCGCGCCGTCTTCTTCTGCAGAGCGCATTTGAGAATACGCAAGACCGATCTACGAGCAAATGAAGCACCCACCGTTGAGCTCGAGCTCCTTGACGCGCTTGATCATGTGCGCCGCCTTCTGCAGCGACCGTTTCATCGCCTGCGGCCGCGTCAGGTGCGAGCCGTCCGTGCGGGAAAACACCTGCGCGCCGAGCCCCGAGCCCCGAGCCCCGCGCACGCACGCCCGAGCAACGAGGAGAGGGGGGTGGGGAGAGGGGGATGTGGGGGAAGGGGTGGGGTGGGGTGGAGGGGGGAAGGTGTTGGGGACAGGCAGGCGAAGCATGGTGGAGCAGCGATGGGGGGGATGGCGAGCGCGAGCCGGGAGAGCTGGAGAGGAAAGCAGTGGGCTACCATGGCACCCATGGAATAATACCGTGCGAGGAAACTACCCGCATTCGCTGCTCTGCTCTAATCTCCCTCTTGATCAAGATATTGCCACAATCAGCCTCCCCAATCAGTCCCCCACCCTGAATCTTCCCCCTTTTCCTCCCCCCAAACACCCAACTGACCGGGTCCTGCGCGACGAGCCGCGCCATGCGCTTAAGGCGATCCACGCGATCCTGGCCGTTCCACACCACGGCGCTCATCTCGCTCACGTCGAACGCTGCTCAAATCGCCGGTGTAAACCGCGGGAGGGAGAGAAGCGTGGGGTGAGGATAAAGGGGAGAGTGAGTTTGTCAAGAGGGGTGAGAGAGTGGATGGCGGGAACGACAACAGGAATGGGGCGCGGGGATTGGGTGCAGGGATCATATCCGGGATCGCGTGAACCGGACATGGTCTGTGAAAAGAGAGTCAGAAATGTAGGCAGGAGATGCTCCGTGAGTGCCGAAGTGCAGTCCCGATCACGGCCATGCGAATCTGTAACAGAACGCATGTCGGTGCTGTTTCCAGGCTAAGCGGCGGGCCGCAAGGAGATCGACATGTTTCGCGGACCGATGCATTACGGAGCGATGGAGGGAGGCACAGTCGGGTTTTTTATCTGATCAGGGGTAAGGGCGGAAGTTGTGACAGGTGTCTAATTCTTACTTGCATTCGCGCGCTCATCAGCCAGGTGATCCATGATGCTCGGAAAAAAGCTGTGAAACAGACTCCCGTTGCCTGATAGGGAGGGCCCTGACAGGAACTAGCGGTCGAAGTAATCAGTGACCACGTTACTAGCGAATACTAGGAACGACGAGGCGACGGAAAAGCCCTGCCAGAGAAGTCGGTGTGAGAAGCTTGTGGCTGCTCCTGTTTTGGCCTCCAGAATCCAGATTCAGCAGGAGAGCAAGGGGAATCCCATTCCCAAGGTTTTGCACTACACAGTAGCACAGGAAGGTGGACCCTTCAAGACTACTGATGGGTGAGTAAAAAGGGTAATAATCAAACCGCAGTGAGTAATTTTTCCAGAAAACAATAAGCGCTGTGGGTGTATAATCAAACCGCAGCGAGTAATTTTTCCTAAAAATCTCATGCACTTGGAATATTTTTTCCCTACAAATATACAAATCCACAGGGAGTTGATGACCTCAAGGAGCACTTCACCTCGAGAATGGTGACCCGGCACCAACCCAACAATGGATGGTTGGATGGTGCCGGGTCCAGTTTCCAGACGAACAGGAGCAATCACCTCAAGAATGATGACCCGGCAAGCATCCAACAATGGATGGTTGGATGGTTGCTGGGTCCAGATTCCAGACGAACAAGAGCAATTCACCTCAAGAATGACTCGGCAACCATTAAAAAATGGACGGCTGGATGGTTGCCGGGCCCAGATTTCAGACGAACATTGTGGTGATCGGAGACGCCGCGATGTGGAAACATGCAATGCTGGAACGCGTGTTGCACTGGATGGACATTCCTGGCCAATCTTAGACGTTGCCTCTCAAGCATGTTGCAATTGTGATTGGATCCCATGGAGGAGTCGCGCAAGAACTTGTGGTCCACTGGTGGTGACGTGACGAGTGCCGTGGCGAGGCGACCAGCACAGCAGCACAAGGGGAAACTTGCGGCGAAATGGTTGTCGAAATTGTCAGTGCACCAGCGAATCCAATACAAGCAAATGCGCGAGACCCTTTGGCTGTGTAATTGCGGAGACTAAAGGAGAAAAGCCAATCATGAAATACCTCAAGTACATCAAACGGTTGATTCCCAACTCGCTTCATACCGTATTTGATATAATGATAAGTAATTTGCAGCAGCAACACAAGCTTCAACGTCGGTGAACATGGGGACAACACCTTTGAGTGTTGATGAGATCGTGTATGCGCAACAACGATTGCCTACTTCTTGTTACGGTAGCCAGTACTGCGACCCTTGCTTACCTATCAACTGTTGCAGCTCGTCATTAGTGAACCATCGCGCGGCCACCAGTACGGTTTACTCTTTCGGTGACCACTCCAGCCGCGCGTTTTTTTGCGGACTCAACGTCGCTTCGGCACGCACCTCTGACAGGACAACAGTCTTTGTCAGAATCACTGTGCAGGAATGAATGAACTATAAATGAGTTGGTTACAAGTACTAACCCTAAAGTGTTGTACCCCTTGTAGGCTAACCCACTATAGCCTAGAGAGAACACAAACATACAGTTTGACACACCTCCATAGGCTAAGTAGGAGAGAGCAAACACAACAGACGGTCACAAGACCAGTCAAGCAAGAGAACAAAGCAAAGCAAAGCTCAGGGTGGATCTCAAGACCACCACGCATTTTGAGCACAAGCAAGCGGCCACAAGGCCAGTTCACATGCAGAGTTAAAATAGCAAGGCAAAACACTAATCACAACCTAGCAAGAGTAAACAAGCAAGTATAAATATATATATCAGTGTACAACAAGAGCAAGTCAAGCAACCAGCAGGTGAGGCAGAGTGGGCACAAGCCCAAGAGCTGTGCAGAAACGCTGATGATCACCAGACCCAAGGGCCTTGGTGAAGATATCAGCAGTGTTGGTCCGAGAGGCCACGTAAGCAAGGCGCAGCTGACCACGCTGCTGCAGCTCACGCGCAAGGAAGTAGCGAAGAGAAATGTGCTTCGTTCTGTGCTCCAGTCTCTGCTCGCGACACAAGGCAAGCATTGCCTTGTTGTCGACGTACAGAATTGGAGGAGAACGAGGCCGCTCCCCCAAGTCGGTCAGCAGGTAGGTCAGCCAGCGAAGCTCCTGTGCAGCCATGGCCCCAGCGTAGATCTCGGCCTCACAGCTGGAACCAAGCACAGAAGAAGAACGAGTGGACCTCCACGAGACAGAACCAGAGCCAAGACTGAAGGTGTAACCCTGTGACGAACGCTGAGTCGCCTGGTCGTCGGCCCAAGAAGCGTCAGAGTGTCCTGTGAGTACCACTGAACTCCGTCCTCCAAGCACGAGCCCCATGCCCGATGCACTGCACAAGTAACGCAGTACCCTCTTCGCAGCATCAAAGTGCACCTTTCGGTGTCTACCGGGTGCCACGTAGCGAGCCAGGAGGCTGAGAGGGTACGCGAGGTCAGGTCGTGTGCACGTCATCAGGTACATGAGGCAACCCATAAGCTCTGGGTACGGACCACTCGGCTCTACGGACTCGTCCGAAGGTGGAGCTGAGAGCGAGTGGCCGGTAGACAGAGGAGTGGGCTATGGCGAGGACCACGTGAAGCCGAAGCGCTGAAGGACCTGCTGCACCATGTGTGACTGAGTCAGGGTGATGGTGCGCCGTGCTCTGTCCCGGGTGATCTGCAAGCAAAGATAGCTCCGCAGCTCACCCAGGTCAGTGCAGGTGTGTCTCTCCTGCAGCTCCGCCTTCACTAGGGCCAGTGCCTCAGTGTCAGCAGTAGCAAAAACTAAGTCGTCGATGTACACAAGGATGTAGAACGCCGGCAGAGTAGTGTCGGTGCATAGAAACAGCGACGGGTCAGCAGTCGAAGGAGCAAACCCAAGAGCCGCAAGTGTCGTCCTCAGTGTGTCGTGCCACTCGCGGGGTGCCTGACGCAGGCCGTACACTGGTCGCCGTAGGCTCCACTGGGTACCCTCAGGAAACGACCCAGTGAAGCCCTGTGGACGGCGCAACCAGATGGCCTCGTGAAGGCTACCCTGCAAGAAAGCTGTCGAGAAGTTGAGGGAGTGCAGCTCGTAGTCACGCTGAGCTGCAACGTGTAGCAACACCCGAAGAGTGGTCATCTTCGGGGTGGGGGAGAAGGTATGAAAGAAGTCGACCCCCGCACGCTGACTGAAGCCTCGAGCAACGTAACGTGCCTTGTAGGCAGGCGGAGAACCCGGCGGCCGCTTCACACTGAAAATCCACATGCCACTGACGATGTTCGCCCCAGGTGGGGGAACCTCGTCGATGTAGGTGCCTGTGGACTTCCAGGAAGCCATCTCTGCGTCCATGGCTGTCTGCCACTGAGAGGAGTACTCACCCGAAATCGCCTCTCTGTAAGAGCGCGGGGTGGGGATGTCAAGTGCATCCGGGTCTCCCTCAGGGGCAAGCAGCATGGTCGCGAGATGGGGTGCAGCGGCCGCAAGGCACTCCAGCTCCTCCCGCCTGTCCTCAAGAACGTCACAGCCAAGGGCAGTCTCACCCCCGACGGACAGAGGACAGGAAGGGACAGGGTCAGAAGCAAGACTCGCAAGGTAGTCTAGGCGGTACACAGCAGCAAAGTCAACGAGCTCAGCGACTAAGGCAGACGCAGCAGGAGACGAGAACGAAGGGTCAGTCATCACCGTAGCAGGAAAGCGAGTAACAGTCGGACTGGACGCACGAGCAAGGTCAGACGGAGGGTCAGCAACGTCAGGAAGAGAGGACGCAGGAGGTAACGGCAGGACAACACGCTGTGGAACAGAGGAAGGACGGAGTGTCATATCGTGAGTGCCTGGGACAGCCAGAGCTCGCTGACGACAAACACGAGGAACACGAGCACGGACAGTGGCTCTAGGCTCGGGCTCAAGGTCAAAGCTGGACTCAGGCTCTCGACGCTCAGGGGTGGAAGCACGAGTCTCAGGCTCTCGACGCTCAGTCATGGACTGTGTCACCGCAGTGTAAGGAGCAGGAGCAGGCAGTGGGGAGTGCGGTAGTAGCTGCGGCTGTGACTGGTCTGCCGGTGGAAACAGTAATGGAGGAGTAGTACCTGCCACAGGGAAGTCAGTAGCACCTGGCGGAAGACTGAGAAGGTGGCGAAGAGCACCAGCAGCTCCCGTACCTCCAGCACGAGCAGCTCCTCCAGTACTCCCAGCAGCACCTCCAGCACCAGTAGCAACAGCACCTCTAGTACCTCCAGCACCAGCAGCACCTCCAGTACCTCCAGCACCAGCATCACCAGTAGCTCCAGGTCCTCCTGCACCAACAGCACCTCCAGTACCTCCAGCACCAGCAGCAGGACCAGCACCTCCAGCACCAGCAGCTCCAGTAGCTCCACGTCCTCCAGCACCAGCAGCAGGACCAGCAGCTCCAGCACCTCCAGCACCAGCAGCAGGACCAGCAGCTCCAGCACCTCCAGCACCAGTAGCTCCACGTCCTCCAGCACCAGCAGCACCTGTAACTCCAGGTCCTCCTGCACCAGCAGCACCTCCAGCACCAGCAACACCACCAGCT